TTTTATTTTTTTTTTTTTTTATTTTTTTTTTTATTTTTTTATTTTTACAATAATTCTTAAAATTTGTTTCCATTACCAAAATAAATAAATAAACGAAAAAAATGCTACAGTAAACCAAAAAATGAATTCTCACCATTTTGGTGAGAATTAAAATTCCTCCAAAACATGGAAAATGTCCATGTCGCATGAAAATGTGGAATTCGTTTCCCACGAAAAATTTCACCTATCAAACACATGAAAAGTTCGAAAATTGTATTGATTTTCCATTTTCCATGGAAAATGGGAATCCATCAAACAAGGCCTAAGTGAAACCCTCACAGAGGTTCATGTACAAAGAATGGGATTCCGACAATTCAATGTAGTCGAACTCTCATGTTGATCCAAATGAATCATCCTTTTCACGGATGTTATTAGGCAATAGGAGAGCTCAAGGGCAAGTGTTACGTGTTGTTCACCCTTCCGCCACTAGAAACAGCATTTTCCGGTCAACTTGCATGAGCTAGTGAACAACAAGATATTAGATTTCATAGCGTCCAATTCCCGTTTTCAATCCATGACCAATATGTGCTCAAAGCTTCCTTTGTAATTCTATGGATATTGAGGAATATTCAACAAGACATTTTGAGAATTGTATGATGCTATCTTTGTTCCTTCCGTTTGAAGAAATGAATGATCCCAAAAAATCGATCTCTCTTAATTGTTAAACCTCTTTGATTGAGCGCCAAATGATGAGCTATCATGCACTCTTTTAAGGGTGTCTGCTTTTAAAACAAACCTCATGACTTCCTGAGCACCTCTCATTCCTTTATCACTAAACGATCATTCCTGGACCTTAATTGGAGATCTGGACTGTTCCCTTCTCCAGGATGAAGCTTATATCCCATCATCTCCCTGTTCGTGGTGTCTTTCCTAAAACTTATTCAAAAAAAATCTTTACGCATCATATATAGGGATAAAAAGAAATGGAATAAGTCCTTGTTTGATGTAGATTGAAATAAACTTTTAACAAATTTTATTAAAAGTTGAGAAAATGTATGATTGAAAAATTCTGGATAATGGTTAAAACTAATTGTTGACTTTGACTTGAGATTAAAAACAAAACCAAATAGGGACTACAATTATTATAGAAGAAAAAAATACAGAAGACAAATAATGATTCAAACGTGATTCGACATTTTTGAACAACGAAACACACAATTTCCATTTCGATTGTAGATGTAACCAACCTACTATTAAGGATATAGGATATGGCAGAAACAAATAATAGAAACCACATCTCATAAAATTTGGAACAACTTTGCATCAAAAAATTTTCATCTCTTTCTATTTCACATGAATGCTAAAATGTGGTGGCAGTTAAAACAAATGTATTTTTTACTAAACATTATTGAAGAGTACAAAGGACAAAATTTTATCATTTTTAGTTCCATAACAGTTAATACTACAGATTCCCCCCTCGCAATCATGCACATTGTAAACACACAAATTAGTTAAAACCACAGGTACAATGTACCAAAACAGACTTCTCTGATATATGGGAACTGTCAAAATATCTACTGCATTAAGCAACATCATCCTCAAAGCAGTAATAGCCTCAAAATCTACTTCTTTGCATTGCTCGATGAATCTAGTTGCGGTTTGACAATACTTAACTGACCTCCATCTTTGTTAGCAACAGTAGCAGCTTTAACCTCATTGCAGTGATTAATAAACTTGCTCAGCTCCTGATCAGTAAAAAGATCCATAAACATCAAACAACAAATATCAGCTTCACAAAAGAGGACAGGAACTCGAGCATCAACATATCATCCATATTGTCAGCTAAAACTTTTGAGTTTCTACACAAACCAGTTCAGAGATTGAATTGCATCATTATTTATTCTCATACCAATTAAAGAAAGAAGCTCTTCAGTGATTTTGCTGGCAAAAGATGGCTTGCTATCATAGACAAAACTGTTATTATCTGCCGACTATCAATCCACCTTTACTCTATAAAATATCGTTGCCAATGCAGTTTAACATATATTTATGCCATATGTTTGGAACAACTAATGCGTCGCAGTCAAAATTCGTTCTCCCGGAACATACCACTTTCACGAAGAACATCAAATATAATAATTATTAGCATACTGAAACTAAATTTAATGATAGTCATATTGGATTAATAAAAGAATAGTCAAATTGTGGTGTGCAAATTGCACTAGAAAATTTCTTATATCACACACATGGTTCAACCATATCAGTACAACAGGCTATAAGGATTTTTGAAGACTAGTTAAAGCAAGACGTATCCTACAGTCCAGGGGACTGAGATAGTGGACATCCATTGAATCTATCATACACATGTATGGTTAAAGAAAGTAAACAAGGAAAACGTGATGAAGGAAAAAGTATGTCAAACTTGATAATTATCATCTGTAGTAGTTCAGAATATTTTCATCACTGACCATTCTCAAATCTCATATAAGAACATATTAGAGAAACTAGCCCATATATATAATAAAAAGCTAGAGAAGCCAATTGGCATGGACCAGTCGGCCTGTCCTGGGCAACACTGCATGGGGTGCGCAAGTTCAGTACCAAGTCAGTACACCAAATGGACCTGGCCAAGCTAAACTTCTAAAATAAATTTAAGCTACCCAAATGAAAATTTTTTAAAGATGCCTCAAGCTTAATTATTTGTCAGAATAACACCATTACACATTAAAAATTGTCATGTGGTACCTTCAACTATTATTTTGAGTGCCACAAATTGAAGAAGTGATGAATAAAAATTATGAGTTCTATGGTTTGTTTTTTTTTTGTTTTTTTCTTTTTTTTATAGTTTTGAGAAAAAACAGGGGTGGTTCATGGTTTGGTTAGAGGGGAAAAACCTCAAAGGACTATTGGCCAACGTTTCAATTCAAACAATTAACTCAAGAAATTTGTAGAGTTAGCCAATCAGGACTGCTTACAATTCAGTCATATACTTTCCTATATCAGTAGTCACTGCTATACTCAAATTTATCAATATCCCAAGCATGCACGGTACATGATAAAGCATCAATATAAATTTTACTTCAACCATTTTCGTAGGATCTAATAGTAGTATACTTTCAAGAATGAGACTTGGAAAAGCAGGAAGATAAAGTTTGTATTCACAGGGAAATTCAATGGCCTTCAAATATCATCTAACATAAATGGAGCATCACTAAATATAAAAAGACATTAGCTAATACATGTCAAACTTCAAAAGCAAACATAGATTAAAGGATAGTTTCAATTTTCAAGTTAACTTCAACGGGCTTAATTTAACCATTGTTTCCATTTTCCATGAATCACATGAAACGGTTCACATCATGAGCAACATAAGAAAGAGTTCAATCTATAAACTCCAGCCTCGTAAAACATCTAATCTCAGAAAAGAAATTTAGACATATTTTTCACATCTATGGATGCAACTAGGCCAAGTTGGTCCATACTATCGCAGCTGAACTTGTAATCTGGAAAGTGCCAGCCCACAGCTGAATTAAATCTACCTCGATTCACCATTTTTCAACCTTATACCACAGTTGAAGGCCACAATTTACCAGCTTTCCCTTGCCCACAGTCCATTTGAGCAGGAATTTTCATACCCTCTTTGATTTAGGCATTGAAATAAAAAAAATGGAATGGCCATTGTCAGCCAAATCATCCTTGAGATGGAGGCCTTTTAAGACGCTAAGCAACAATTCCTCAGTTTTTTTCCCAAAATCAAAACTATAATACAAACCCCTGACCATTTCTTCACTTTCAAAACTATAAAACAAAGATCTTGTTGCAATCTTATTCATTGCTGATTCACTTCTATTTATCAAGTTCAGTTGTATTGCTAATGAAGAACAATTGGAAGAAGATAGATTTTAACAGTAAACTGTAGTGTCTACAAACCGTACTTCCAATAAATTATAAACTTGAAGTATTTTTCTTAGTACTTTCCATTTTGATAGATTGAACTTATTTTCACAAATTTGGGAGAAAAAGCCCAATTCAGCTTGGCCCATGAAGGGGTTTATTTATTAAAAAGCCTTTCTGAATGTTATATCTAGTCGAGTATAGCATACAAAAGATGCCCTTATGTTATCATTCTAGAAGCATGTTTGGCTGGGCTTATGAATTGTCAAACTATCTTATAAGCCCAGCCAAACATACAGCTAAAATCGTCGGATGACTAATTTCACGGCCTATATCACATTAAATCATAATTTCAGCCCAGCAAACTTATCCAAACCTAAAAGTAATGTTGACCAAATGATTTACCAATTTACCCTCTTATACTCATTTATCATCCAAGCAACCTACATTAATTAACTATTAACATCAATTTCACATTACGTGTTGATTCTTATTTGTAATTAACATACGAAAATGACCAGCCCAAATATTACATTGTAACATGGGTAGCTAAATTGATACCACAATTTCTTTTAAGCCTACAACATTTTAATTGCATTTATGGTCCTTAAAATTTTTGCTTATTGACATAATTATGTCCCCACTTTTCTCATCGCATTGTTACTATCAACCTTTCACTAATTAGCACATCTTGTCCCTGCTAACAGTTTACGTCCAAAAATTGTGTTATGAGGTTACAAAAAAAATTATTGTCCAATATTTTTAAGCAAGGAAAAAAAAATGCACCTAAATATTTGCCCTTATTTTGAAGGACACAAGCAGGATTTTTGGGAAAAAAAGAAAAAAATCTTCAGGTGTAGTATGTGTTAATTATAGAAGATTGTGAGTAACAATGCGATTAAAAATAGTTGGAGAAATAAGTGTGACAATAACTAAAAGGTAAGGACATTTAATGCAATTATAATGTGGTGTGAATATAATTACCCTTAAAGATGGTTCAATGGTTTTAATTTATGGTACAATTATAATTTTTATCATGAAAGAATTCCTAAAAAATTTTGGGTTTTGCTTTATATTTTCATTTAAACACTATGCGGACATAATATGTAATTTGACAACTACTAACCGCTAATAAGCTAATGCAGGTCATCCCAAATATATGAGCTTATTGCACTTGCGAGCACATGACATCCAATTATGTGAACTTTTTAAAAATAAGATAGCTGAATCTTATAAGCCCCAGCCAAACATGCTCTAGACAATCCGGCATAAGGCAATCATAAATTAAGCCCAGTCCAATTGCCCAATAAAACTGTTTTAACTTGAAAATCAAAGAAGAAACACCTGAACCATGAATTTGACATGGAGCCGAACAACTAGCGAAAAAATTAGGGATTACGTGACTAATATTCACTGAAGGTGCATGAAATGTTTTCCCCCACAGCCTTCTGGACACAGCATAAACATTCTATGGTAGTACAAGCATATCTCACATCATCGAATGAAATTCAGAAATAATGCTAATTTCTTTACATCGATTCCAAAAAATTCTTTACTTAATCATTTATGTAATAACATAATTTTACTCATCCCACTTTTTTGTTTCATATACATTTACATGCACTTTAGCTCCACTCACGGATTTTTCTTCTGTAGATACAAGGTAATTGGCAACATAAAATTTGTCTTCAGAGAAATTAAACTAGATATCACTACTCAAAACTACAAAAAAATTAGTGATTTAAGAACTTAAAGCAAGAACTTGATACATACTTTCCAAAATTAAACAAAAGTGAAAGCGCAAAGCTTACCCGGTCAGCATCCATCTCTTTTGTCACCTTCGAGGGCTTCACCACTTTCTTCCCTTCAATTCAATCAAAACAATACATTAGAAACAGAAAAATTCAACACCCCCCCCCACCATTTATTTCTCTGCGTGATATTGAAATTGCGTTACCTTTGCGTGTTTGAGAGAGCTTTCCATGGCGATTTGGAGGGATAGATTTCTTTTTCTGTTGGCCTTTGAAAAGATTTCCCTTTTGCGTCATTTTTTGTTCGTCTATGTTTCAATTTGATTTTCAGGAAGCGGCTCTTTGAGTTCTAGGGTTTTGCTTGAGCTCTTATTGAAGTTTGAACACTTTTATATTTATTTCAGTATCAGTCCTCAACTTATTGCTCAAGTAGCGAGCAAGTTCATTCTCAAACTCTATAGATGCAAAATTAATCCCCAAGATGGGCATTCAAATCTATGTTAAATGGCAAAAAAATTATGTCTCACTTAATTTTAAATTTTATGAGAACTCGTCTAAGCCCCTTTTGACCCCCATTACCTGAAAATGAAAATGGGGGAATAATATTTTTTAGAAAAATGAGTGATTGAAAAATAAAGAAAATTTTTCGATTTAAGTGTAACATTATTTTATGGAAAATTGTGTAGTTGAAAATAGGAGAAAGAAAAATGAAATGTAATGTAATTTAATTTAATGAGGATCAAACAGAGGCTAAATTGAGAAATGAGTAGGAGTGGACATGGTTCCAATTAGTTCTGGTTCTAAGAGAACTGAACCAAACCATAAACCATTAATTTTCTTGATAATAGAACCAAATGATTTTTCTAAAGGTATGGAACCAAACCAAACCGATCCATTCGATTTTGGTTTGGTTTGGTCTGATTCTAGTTCTTACTTAAATTTTTAGACTTACGTCACATCCATAAGTTAATATATACTTAGGCTATGTTTGAATAATATTTTTTCAAAAAAATACATTCTTGAACAGTGATTTGACACATTTTCTACTAATATGCTATTCAACAATATATTCTTAGAAATATAATGTAGCTCAAACAACTGCTTAAATAAAAAATATAAGCATAAAAAATTTAACAAGTTCAAATTATCAATCATCAAGATTTCAAAAGTTCAAACTAACAAACAAAATATAAACAAATGCTTCTTTGCTAAAAGTTAATAATATCAAGTTTCATAATAGAAACTTAGCCCTTATCATCCAGACAATCTTTAATCGTTTAATACTCCACTGCTTTGTTTGAGGGATATGCAGGGTAATGTTTGGGATTCTTAAGGGTTTGAATTTAGAGTAATACCCTTAATGGGCCGAACAAAGATAATGGCTATTGGAATAGCTTCAATTAATACAAGATTAGATTCATATAAAAATAAAATTATAAGTTAAGCTTGGTTCTTGGTTTGGTTCTCGATTCTAGAACTAGAACCAAACTTGAACCAGAATCAATTAGTTCTAGATACGAAGAACCAAAATCATTCATTTTTTATTTTTTTATTTTTTTGTGTGGAATCGAACCGAATCGAACCGCTCAATTTGGTTTGATTTGGTCTGGACATTTTGTCCACCCCTAAAAATGAGACTATTATGTAACTATAATAAAAAGTTGAAAACTAACTTGTTCATTTTTAAGCTTGGAGACTATCTTATATTATATAGGCACTAGAATCGAAGAGCTAACAATACTTCTGCAGTTTTATGTCGACATTAGAGATTCTCTATCTATAAATAATATCTTATGTATAATAGAGAATATTTTTAAATTTAGATGTTAAAATTTTTTGTATACTCCAACAATATTATCTATTTGAATAATGCTATTTAATATCATTAGGATTGCAACTTCAATTTAGGTGGTACTAGATAATAGGTTAAATAAAATGTGAAATTAAACTAGTCATTTAATTCCACTTATCATTTAATACTACATCAACGTAACCTAAACTGAGGTTGTAATCTTAGTGGGGCTAAATGACATTACTCTATCTATTTTGACTCTTCATTTTTTTAAAGAAATATTTACTGATTTCTATTCATCTCTTATTAACATATTTTTTTTAATATGTGAAGCAAAATTTCATCAACCAACAAAAAAATAAAACTACCACACTTTCTTTTTGCCGCCTTACTAATATGTAAAGGAATCTCGAAATGGTGATGTACAAATAGCATTATTCTAAAAATATAGCGCATCAAATAAAAATTGTAATATGATTAATTTCTAAACTATTGCATATACGTAATTGGGAAAAAATTGTAAGATTGGACAGTACTTTATTTATTTATTATTATTTTTTTGGGGTTTTGAAGTTTTGTTCCAGAATTATTATAGATGTATATTCTAATGTATATTATAGATGACTTTTTTTTTTATGTGTCAAAATCTAGTCAGTGATGTGAAAGGGTGTGTTGACACATAAAAATTCAGCCCAAATCGAACAGCCCAGAGAGTGAAGCCCAATTGGAAGATCTCCAAATCAGATAGCCCAAAGAACGAAATCCAATTGAACGAATCAAGGTGAATGCCCAAATAAGGGGTCCAATAGTACGGTAACGACATCGTCCAAATTTGCAAGTCGCTCAGAGTCTGAACGAATAGAGTGACATACGGTCGTCCAGAGTCTCGCCCAAATCTTCAAGTCGCCCAAGGTATCAACAAACACAACGCATTATGATACAGTTATTGAGGCAGTTGCTAAAGTAACTTTTATCACGTTCCACGACTCAAGGGGTTCAATCGAAAGCGGTTGAACGATGCAAGATAATGGCAGCAGTTAAAAGGACAGTTTCATGACAAATGGCCACTACAAAGAAAGTGGGTAGTTATAGGGCGATCAAGCAGTTTTTTAGAGCAGTTAATCACAAAGGGATCGCCTATGAAGTATAAAAGGGAGAAAGAACTTAGAAGCAAAGGATCGAATCCAAAACTCTCGAACAGAGAATATGTAATTTTCATTCCTTTAGCTTTTAGACTTAAACATTTCCTTTCTGTAACTCGTGTGCTTGCGCCCCTTGGAGGCACGTTGTTTTCCGTTTCCAATTGTAAAGTTCATCGCCAATAAAAAGAACACCCCTTTTGGGACTTTGTCTCAAGAGGTTTCGTCCCTTACACAATTGTCTGATCCTCTTTAATTGTTAGCGAATTAACACGCGCGAAACAAATTTGGCACGCCCAGTGGGACAGTGGTGTTAGGTGTTGAAAGTGCAAAAGGAGAAACAGTATGCCTCAAAAATCCGACAAGGAAGGAGCAAGTCAGGGAGGAATCCAGTCTGTAATCGAGCGATATGAGGAGCAACATGCCTCTCCACGAACAGATGGACAAAATCAGAGCAGTAACAGTCGTTACGAACCAATGACGGAGCTGAGTCCTCGAACCATGCGTGCATTGCTTGGAGAACTCACGCAAGACGTCGTTGAACAGGTAAATCTTCGAAATATTCATAACATGGAAAGATTTACACAAAGTGGTAATACACACTATGACAATATGGCCAAACAACTAAAGACGTTGAATGAAACAATGAACAAGTTAGTGGGCCAAATATGTCAACCGGCTATACCTCTTACAAGTCACTTTCAAACTAGGACGATCGTAGGACATAATCCTTCAGTCCCAAATCCAAGTCAAGGGGTAGAACCACTTTCTGGCGCCGCTACTTCAAATCAAGG